TTCGGGCGTTTCCATGGCAACAAGTTTGATTTAGACTGAAATTGATGGTAGCGCTCTTTTCCGGAGCAGAACTCTAAAACCGTTCAATGTTTATTCACCAAACTTGGCACATATATACATCTGGTGGTGTGCTGATGCCTCTTGGTAGTTTTGGTATTCTGAATAAAATATGTTTGGTGTTTCCATGGCAACAAGTTTGACTTAGATTGAAATTGGTGGTAGTGCTCTTTTCCGGAGCAGAACTCTAAAACCGTTCACTATTTCTTCACCAAACTTGGCACATGGATTGGTCTGGTGGTGTACTGGTGCCTTTTGGTAGTTTTGGTATTCTGAATTAAATATTTTGGGCGTTTCCATGGCAACAAGTCAGACTCAGACTGAAACTGGTGGTAGTGTTCTTTTCCGGAGCAGAACTCTAAAACCGTTCACTATTTCTTCACCAAACTTGGCACATGGATTGGTCTAGTGGTGAACTGGTGCCTTTTGGTAGTTTTGGAATTCTGAATAAAATATTTTGGCGTTTCCATGGCAACAAGTTTGACTTAGACTGAAATTGGTGGTTGTGCTCTTTTCCGTAGCAGAACTCCAAAACCGTTAACTATTTCTTCACCAAACTTGGCACATGGATTGGTCTGGTGGTGTACTGGTTCCTTTTGGTAGTTTTGGTAGTTTTTGTATTCTGAATTAAATATTTTGGCGTTTCCATGGCAACAAGTTAGACTCAGACTGAAACTTGTGGTTGTGCTCTATTCCGTAACTGAACTCAAAAACAGTTAACTATTTCTCCACCAAACTTGGCACATGGATTGGTCTAGTGGTGTACTGGTGCCTTTTGGTAGTTTTGGTATTCTGAATAAAATATTTTGGCATTTCCATGGCAACAAGTTTGACTTAGACTGAAATTGGTGGTAGTGCTCTTTTCCGGAGCAGAACTCTAAAACCGTTCACTATTTCTTCACCAAACTTGGCACATGGATTGGTCTGGTGGTGTACTGGTGCCTTTTGGTAGTTTTGGTATTCTGAGTAAAATATTTTGGGCATTTCCATGACAATAAGTTTGACTTAGATTGAAATTGGTGGTAGTGCTCTTTTCCGGAGCAGAACTCCAAAACCGTTCACTATTTCTTCACCAAACTTGGCACATGGATTGGTCTAGTGGTGTACTGGTGCCTTTTGGGTAGTTTTGGATTTCTGAATTAAATATTTTCGGGCGTTTCCATGGCAACAAGTTTGATTTAGACTGAAATTGATGGTAGCGCTCTTTTCCGGAGCAGAACTCTAAAACCGTTCAATGTTTATTCACCAAACTTGGCACATATATACATCTGTGGCCGTATGCATATGTCGGGCGTAAAATCTAGTCCGGGCGTAAGTAAAATGTGCGCCCGGACGTAACGTAAACCGGTATGCACATATTAGACGTAGTTAAAGTTACGCCAGTCGTAGCGCTCTATATTTACGCCACCTACCCAGCAGGCGTAAGCCAGGCGTAGCCTTGTAATGGCGGCACTGGATGCCGAGTTTTTTATCAGGCGCACATTTTCAAAAATTTGTAAAAGTGAACGTTGTGCGAGAATTGCGCTCGCGTGGTCCTGGATCTACGTACGGCTATAAAATTACACAGAAATGTAGAATATTTAATTTCATATCCGTTGGTATAAATATAAGTGCGACTCCCCCGGCGGTTTGAGAAATAGACACTGCTAAATGTTGTCTAAAATTGAAACTGTCAATTTCTCCGCTTTTTGTCGTGCACCGATAAAAGCAATCTGCTACGATTTTTTTAATCTGTCATCTTTACAGAAAGTGTGAGCGAAGAAAATACAGCCTGATATCTGAACGACATAAGTGTATATGAATTGGGTTTATGTGCTAATGCATAACGTTAGACGCTCAACATTAAAAATGACTCGCAATAAATGTCAAAAAATGGATTTTCTTCTATGACGTCAAACGACGACAGAGAGGTCATACACGCAGTGATCGAAATAACGGGCTGCCCGCCTGCCCGAGGCTGGCAACTTTCGTGTCGGGCTGCCTGAAAAAGTCTCCGCAAGCCCGATTGTCTGGCTGATATTTTTAAATACCTCCCTTTTGGAGGCTTAGTATGATATAACAGGCGAGAAGATATATTTGATTCGGGTATCGCTCTAAACTTTCGCTATTAAAATTTTTCAGAAAATATATCATTTTGATGATGTAAACCGATAAGGGGAATTGCAAGTGTAACAGGCTCTTTTCAAATGTCACAGGCTGGGGATGTGACAGAGGATTTAATTTCATGCTTGTTGTTTTTAATTTGCTGAATTAATTCACATTTAAAACAATGATAAATGCAATTTATGAGTCATAAATGCGGGCAGGCAACTTTCAAGACGGGCAGGCAACATTTATTGGTCACCTGCCCACTGGTTGAGTTTAAATATTATTTCGATCACTGCATTTCAGATACTGAAGTATCTACCTGCCGGCTCCATATCTATTACATGTAACGATGTTTCCTTGGTATTCAAATGCTGCCACTGCTGCCATGTTTTATTGCAATGACCTACCTTCCAGCGAAAGTAATCAGTCTGGCACTTTCGGTAACGGCTTTATATAACTGAGCTTACAAATGTGCAATAATAACATATTGATGAGGACGAATAAGCGAACACATGACAGTGCAAATGTTCCCATATCATTGTCAACGTTTCTTCCCGCTTTCTACTGCACTGTGGGTGAGCATCTGGAAATATATAAAGGAACATTTGTACTTTTTTGGAACACATAGAAGTACAAGTGTTCCAATATCAGTGTCCAGTTTTCTTCGCGTGCTTTGTACTGCGCAGTGGTTGGAAATCTGGAAATAAATAAAGGAAGACTTGTACTTTCTTGTGTGCCGTTATTCGTGTCCATCAGTATATTTTAAATCTACATTGTACGCTGTATCTCCCGCTGTCTCAAAAACTACTAAGGACAAAGATGTTTACGGAGTTCCCTAAGGACATTAATCACACAAGGGTGCTGCAGTAAAGGTAATATACCCAGTTAATACTGCCACTAATTGTCCATTTGGTCGTACGTCAAGGTTGATATCAGCTTGACGCATATACAACGTATTAACCGAGCCCATGCGGACATCGCCTTAATAAATAGGGTATAGAGTAAACACATTGTGCAGGCTGTAGCTCTCAGAACAAAACAACACTGACAAACAAAACGACCATATATAATAAACAATCATGATTCCACCACCAATTTCAATACGCTCTTGATTCTGCTGTTTTATGACACCAACATGATGTTCAAATCATGCACTTTCCTATTCTGACATGTACCATGTGTTCCCCTGCTATTCAGGTGAAAACTTGACCTGTCTTTGCATGTGTTTGTGACGGGTCACTGCCACCGCGGGGCAAGGTATCATCGCTAAACTGACTGAGTTTGGTTTTACGCCGCTTTTAGCAATATTCCAGCAACATCACGGCGGGGGACACCAGAAATGGGCTTCACACATTGTACCCATGTGGGGATTCGAACCCGGGTCTTCGGCGTGTATCATCGCTAAAGGAAAGCACTCGATGAGATATGTAATGAATAATGACCCTGTTGTTTATGTTAACTATTCAAAAGCAAATTTAAACTAAATAAAATCGCAGGTGCAATGTACAATTGTTTGACCGAATCTGCCCCATATAGTGTCTCCGTCATATACGATTCACGGTAAGCGCACACATGCACATATACTCACACAACGCCTACGCTGAGGGAGGCTCAGAAATCATTGTGCACTCAAATTGTATCGTTGCTACTGGTGGTGCTTGTCCGAGACACATGGTCACGAACATACACTTCTCAAAAAATAGCATGAGCGCATTGTTACTGACAACGTAAATTACAAACAGTGATATGGGATGCCAAGAATATCTAACCTATTTCCCATGCAGAGTTGCGTCCCTTACACGTCATTGGATGCACTGGACCAGATTCGCCAAGGTTAGAATCCTTAGCTTTTAGCTTCATACCCTTGCTCCTGGTAATCATATGGACCTGCAGCACTTCAGAACGTCTCCCACATCAAATTAATACGTTATGATATATCTAATACTGTATGATACATCGGGCAAAACAACATCAAACTAAACTCATTCACTGATTGATATTAATCTTATCTTACATGGCAATGCAGGTCTCCCAATCACTGAAAACCAGAATGTTTTTAAATATGTACATATCTATATCTCTCACACAAAACACTTTCTCAGTTAACTTCTGTTGCACATCCTACTCTTTGTGTGTCACTTGTGTACTTTGTTGTAAGATGAATTGTGTATTAATCTGGAGAGGGCTCTAAGTTGGATAACTTGTGCCCAATCCTTTTCTTGAATGAATAAAATATGTTTAAAACAAACTCATTCACTCACGTAGTTCATTCAGGTTAATTATTATTTCAGAAGCATATAACATAATGCAAATATGAAAATAAGAATAATGATGTCCATACAACATTACCTAACTTGCAAGAATACCTTCTTGTTATTAACGTAACAGTTCCTCTATGTGAACAAACGAATCCTTTCAAAGTTTAGCTGCAAACGGCGATGGACCGACCACCAGACTTGACCCTGTTACGTTCAAACAATTCTGCCACAACGTTTGATGCATTAACTATGAACACATTGCTTTCCCCAAATTAAAACGGTTATTCATAGACTTGGTAACATCAGCAGTAAAACATGTTTATATCCCTCCAATCTTCACCCCGTTCAATCTCCAACGTATACCCTACTTCCGGTGTTGTTGTGATGGTTCTATTGTTTAAGGTGTAGGTGTATTGCATTAAACAGGCAACGTAAACAACAGGGTTCGCAGATTGATATCATGCTTCAGCTTTAGCAAACAAGACAGATACAACCAGATAGTTTATAAGTACTTTTAGCAGATTACATTCAGAACTTTTACACTTAAAAGTGGTGAGTGGTGGGCCCCGGGTTTGTCGCTGCATCCTGTATAACGCATATTCCAATCAAATGACATATATATATATATTCACACACTCAAAGTATTTCTGACTACACGGCGTATCTAGGAAGATGCATATTTCTAACTTTTCTCTCACCAAAGAAGGTAATATCACAAGGCAGAGCAGTTTTGGAGGTAGCTTTGAATGCACAGAAACTGATATCCGCCACGAAGTCACATCCAACGATCTGCTACATACACCATTTACACATACATTTGTTGATATGAAAGCCGATTGATTTTCCTGATTGTCTGATCCTGTGGTGTGTTCCGATTGGCGCTTTCCGTCAGAACTCGACGCTTTCCCTAAATGTTGACGAGGCAAAACGACGCTTTCGAAAAATCGTTTTTGCAACATGTCAGCAGCTGCACTCAGGTCATTTACAAAACCTTGTCACATACATAGCTACATGAATCACGCAGGTATTTACACTGAAGGTTTCCCCTCTCATGTTTCGCATACATATTTCCTGTTTAGTTGTGTTTCTCTGCAAGGCCCCGTCTCATGTAAAACTTCATCATGCTGAACAAGGCAACCCACGCCTTCTCCAGCTCAGGGCTCCAGCGGTCATCCAGGTTGGATCTCAGTGCATATATAAACTGTTCGCCCATCATCTGAAATATACGATGCCAACATGAGAAACGCTAAAGAGCAATATACAAGGATATTAAAAAACATATGTTTTGCCTTATAAAAAAACCTCAAAAGTAAGAATATATTGCCATTTATAACATGTACAATTGAAATGTGATGACTGCTTCCTCCTGTCTAATACTGCTGCTGCTGCTATTACTACTGCTACTACGACTACTACTACTTCTGCTACTACTACTACTACTGCTACTTCTGCTACTACTACTACTACTTCTGGTACTACTACTGCTGCTGCTACTACTGCTACTACTACTACTACTGCTACTACGACGACTACTACTACTACTACTGCTGCTGCTACTGCAACTACTACTACTACTACTTCTGGTACTACTACTGCTGCTGCTGCTACTACTACTACTACGACTACTGCTACTACTACGACTACTACTACTACTACTACTGCTGCTACTTCTGCAATAACTACTACGACTGCTCCTATTGCTATTTCTGCTACTACTACAACTGCTATTACAACTACTTCTACCACTACTACCATAGCCATTGGGGACACGGGTGGCTCAGTCGTCAACTCTGCTATGTCTCTTATGATTGTCGGTTCGAATCCTGGTTTGTTCTGATTAAGTTTCTATGTTTACTAGCACAATACCCCTGCTCGTGGCTTCACCTAAGTGGGAAACGTATGACAAGGCATCACTGCTTTCCTACTAAGTTTATCAAACAGGTGATTAAACTGGAATACTGTTGTGAATACACAATGCCATTTAGAAAACTGTCAAATGTAACACATGTTATATTTGGGATTACACTTTCAGTAAAGTACAAATTCTAGTACTTTTGTTGGGTCCTATCCTGAATTTGAACCAATACTCTAAGAGTCAGGCACCTACTCGCCACCACTACCACTACTACTACTACTACTACTACTACTACTACTACTACTACTACTGACGCTACTGCTTGTAACATAGATTAATCTCATTTGAATTTGTGTATATGGAATTTCATTTCTTATGATGGTTTTGAAATATATAAAAAAATAACCTAGAAACCAAGAAATATAACAGAAAACATAACGTCATGTCACACAGCACACCACTCCGTCCTGAAGGTTCATTTATCACGAAAACAACACATTGGAAATCTGATTCTTTTACGAGAAGTGATCACTGATGCATAAAAACAATTGTGTTTTTATCTTTTTACAGCAAAGCCCATGATTTATGAGCCACAGTGATGTCCATTAATGTAACTAACTCTGACTGGGATTATATAGATGGTGATGAGTGTATGCGTTATCGACTGGTATGTGCATCTGTTACCAACACGGCATAAAAACGTCACTGTGTCCGCAAACCACCCACCAGCTCAGATTGTTATTTAACACCGACCTCTGACACGAGTTCATGGATTCGAACAGCCTCTTGAATGTTTCACTAAATGTTTCGATTCACGTAACAATGCGACGTATAACCACATTATCAAACTGTTCGTACCCAAATCATACGACCCGACCGTAAGGTGTAATGTATATACAAACATGTGGACACTAATGTACGTGGAACAAGGTAAATACACTCATCAATAATCAATAACATTGTATTCTCTTGGGGAATGAGTACAGGTATTCGTAATAGAACTTTGTAAGAGATCAAATCGGATAGCGCCGTGTATTCGTGCTCTTCATATCAGCGACAGCCAACAGCGGATTACAATCATTTGGTTTTAATAGTGTGTTGAGTAAGAAAATTGAATAAATGTAATCTATTCCTATCGAGCAATTCAGTACCTAGCCCACATAAGCACGCAAGATATAATGGTATGGACCAACGCTTAGTCAGTGTAATATATAATATTGATATAAAAGGGAGTTCCAGTGAGTTGGGTGAGGTGAGGTGAAATTGGGTTTAACGTCGTGCTTGAGAATATTTCGCTCAAAAGACGACGTGCATGAGTGTGTATGTGTATGTGCGGCTGCTTGTACTAGCCCAGACTTAAACTGGATTTATAGTGCTTGCCCACTGAGATACCATGCAGCAGTGAAGCATGAATACCCCAGTTAGACACATTATACTGACTCCGAGCCTACCAGTCCTTGATGTACCCATTAATGCCGAGCGCCAGGCATTGACCAACAAGTACCATATTTTAACGTTCTTTTGGTCCAGTGAGTTGGGAGATTCTGAACCTGAATTATAGGAATTTAGACTTGCTTCATTTAAAGCATCTGTATCACAGAAAGGGCTGGGTTTGTTCGTTGTTTAACGTCGCACCCAGCAATATTCCAGCTATATGGTGGCGGTCTGTAAATAATCGAGTCTGGACCAGACAATTCAGTGATCAACGCATTATGATACGATGACATGCGTCAATCAAGATCCCGTTAGTTGCCTCTCACAACTAGCATGGGTTGCTGAAGACCAACCCAGATCTTCACGTGTCAGAGAGGGCTTGGCTTTACAGACATTCTGTTACTGAGAGACAGACTAGTATAATAGCCATGGCGAGAAAAGCCAGTGCACTATTCTCTAACTGGGCTTTAATGCTTTAAACTTTTTCTGATATCTGCCCCATGCCAGTGAATAGATGACTGCTTGTAGTCTATGGTAATATTCGTATACAATCTTTATCTGGCAAGATTAGGTGACGTAACATAAACACAGAAAGTAGCTTAATCTATCTGAACCTCAGAGTCTCATTAAACTATTTAACGTTTAGGTTGACTCTCAAACCTGAAGCCATATCCATTTCATTGTTACTTTCCAAAACTCCACATAAATCCATAATAGCAACTTTTTGTCATCTGTTTCTTTAAGCAAAGGAATCGTGAGTTTCTGCTCGGATTGGCGAAATCAAAGCAAGGGAAAGTTCAACTCAAGCTTCTTGGGTATCGATGATCTGATACTGAGGTACGGTCCAGCACGTTCTTTCTGCCAAGAGTTCAGTTTGTGTCATGCAACTCTTGTTCGAAATTTCTTTTCATCACAGCTACAGGATTTTGGGGTAAATTTGCAGAATGTTTTTATGATGTCCTGAGCTGATCAAGTGCCCAATCAGCCTGACTGCGTCATGATCAGCAGTAATTATGAAACTATTGTATTTGTGAAACACTCACGTCAATGTACTCGGCCTTGACATTGTAGTTTATATGTCTACGGCCAAGTTCACCCATGTCCCTCGATCTTGGAAGGACTGTCAATCCTGTTGAGGCACTTGTCAACTGTCATCATAACACGCAGAGCATGCGCGCAAGATGGCGCTCTGTTCCATGTCCGTCGTGGAGAGACCTCGGAATGGAAGGAAGGCATCTTGCACATCTGGGTGTGTCTCGAATAGCCTGGAAAAACCAGAAACGTCACTGAGTCATTTTAGTCAAAACACACATGCAGCTGCAAAATCAACAGGGCAGGACATGCATACCCTGTTCGCGAACACCTGGTGTCATCACTTATCAACTCATATTATAAGTGATCTATTCAAATAATAGTCACAGCTAATATTTGCACTTTAAGCCTATGAATTGAGTGAGTGAATTTAGTTTTACGCCGCTTTGGGCAATATTCCAGCAATGTCTCGTCGGGGAACACCAGAAATGGGCTCCACACATTGTACCCATGTGGGGAATTGAACCAGGGTCTTAGGCGTGACATGCAAACGCTTTAACCACTCGGCTACCCCGCCGCTCCTACGTCGATGGAAATCTGTTTCAGTGGATAATCATATTTATACATACACACACATATATCCCTTTTTAGAGACGAAAGATACCAAATATAACTGGCCTAGATCTTCTAGCATTGATGCGCAAAATATAGTCCTGGCGAATGGTCACGTGACTGTTCCTGTTAGGGTGATTACTGAAAGGTGAAAAAGATACGAATCCTCCTCTAAATGATGTTCGTTAAATACCCAGCATCCATCACAGTTGTTTCAGTTACGATAGAACATGCAGGCAAATATCGTTCAGAAGACATTTGGTATTCATTGGTATTGATTACTGTCGTCCTTCTCTGGAAATTATAGCATTCATGGGATTGTTTAAATGTAATAGTCCATACCAATATAATGTCAAAACTGCCCATTGCCATGATTTAGTCCGTATTTCTAAATATTGAGTGGTATTTGTTTAATGTTGAATACTATCATAACCAGAATACAACCTATCCAATTTTCTTCCTGAAAGGTTTGACGTTAAGCAAATAGAATCAGCAAAACGAAAAATTGCTTTGCAACATATAATTCTCACAAATAAAATTCGTAACATATAGCTTTTGTTGCTATGTGTATGATAAATTTATTGACGGGTATAAAGCGTCAAAGTCAGAGTCGTTTTACCACCGAAACAAATTTCTTTGGGGTGAAAAGAAAGGTTTCTCTGAGGTCTCGATGAAAATAAGCATTATGAATACGTGAATCTTCGACCTGTGGAAATCCAGGAATAAATATGTCTTCAGCAAGCCATGCTTCCCGTAAGATACGACAAACTGATCGAGTGGTCAGACTCGCTGATTTGGTTGACACATACGTCATCGTATCCTGAATTGCGTAGATCGATGCTCATGATGCCAATTTCTGGATTGTCTGGTCCAGACTCGATTTTTTACAGACCGTCTTCATGGTAACTTGGACTATCATAAGCGCCACTGACATAAAATGTAATTTCCAAGTTGGTTCAATCACAGAGGATTATTTTCTCAAACAGCGTGGCCAGCGAAGATTCGGGTTAGAATTGGTCTTCCGTAACCCATGCTTGTCGTAAGAGGCGACTACGGGGATCAGACTTTGGTTGACACATATCGTCGTATCACAATGGCGTAGATCGATGAGTGTGATGCTGATCACTGGATTGTCTGGTCCACACTCGATTATTTACAGACTACCGCCATATGTCTGGAATATTGCTGAGTGCGGATTTAAACAACAAACCAACCAACTCAAACCAGCGTACTTACATGAACCACAAGAACAAGCGTTAACTCGAAACGGTACTCAAATCAAACCCAGTGATCTGGAATTTATTCTCGAAACGTTCGTAGTTCTAAGAATTCTTAACTTTTGTCGTAGCCAATGTGTTAAGAATGGGCTTAAGAAGTTCGTAGGGCTACGAACGTTAACGTTTCGAGAATAGCTTGCCTGGTTCTGAGTAAGAGGTGCATTACACCCCACGAGTCGCAAGGTCCAATGCTGTCGGAACTGGAGCTCATATTGGTGATTGGGTGGATTTAATGGTTCTTGAGTATTAACAGTTTTGGATGATCCAAATTAGTGATTAGAATGGCCGTATTGGTGACTGGTTGAATAAAATCGTTCTTGAGTGTTTATAGTTTTGGATGGGCCATATTGGTGACTAGATGATTTAAATTGTCATGTTCTGGATTAGATGGGGAATATTGAGGATTGGATGGATTAAATGGTTCTTGAGTATGGGTAGTTTTTTAATGGACCACCACTGGAAGACTACCGTCAGCATTCATAATAATCTGAAAACTAAACTCAAGAACGGTACGTGATCATCGTAATCCTTGACCATGAATCGGTGCTTTCGCCATCAATCCCTAATTTTTCGAATTACAAATTGAAAAGACTCCATAAGGCATTAGTTTTATGCTTGTTGCCTTTTCAAACATGTATACCGAACACTTCGATGTGTGTTTAAATAAATACAGAACACAAAGATGATACTATTGGTAGCCTATCGCGACGAATACCTGTATATAACGTAAACGTTAACGTTTTGTAAATGGCGTGTCCTTCTTACTCTCACCATCCGGAGATGGTTTCAGGTAGTTAGAATTTGAAATCCTACTTTCCTGTTACTGTTGATTACTCCACAACTTTACGTCACTCCTCGTGGCAGAGTTGGTAACGTCATAACTGTGCTGGAGAGGCTGGTTGTTTGATACCGTGGGCAGGAAATGCTTACCCTTTTGACGAACAGGGCGGCGGGGTAGCCTAGTGGTTAAAACGTCACACCGACGACCCGGGTTCGATTACCCACATGGGTGCAATGTGTGAAGCCCATTTCTGGGGTGCCCCGCCGTGATATTGCTGGAATAATAGTATACTAAAACTAAGGAATAAAAACTAAACCTCACTCACTCATTCATTTGGTGAACACGTGGTGTCATCACCGATTTTCGGGGCTCCATTCATAGCTTTCACAGCTTTCGCACCAAACGGAATCTATTGCTGCGGGTTGTCATAACGGTATTCTAAAGTTTTATATTTATTTTGACACTGTTGGGACATGTGGAACACACTTCACATACTGAATCCATATTTTAATCAATTCATGGTCGCCGTCGCGTTGAACGAAGACTGCAGCAGGTGGACTACCCAACCTCTCCACTAACAACAGTCAATACTCGACACATCTGTCATGTCGAGACCTCAGAAAAGGTTACAGTTGTCAAGGAAATCACAACTGAAAATTAATCACTGACGCTTTTAAACAATTTTGTTTCCCACTAGGTCGTGTATTCCTTTGATTGAATGTCGGCTTTGATCGTGATCACATTTTGGCGTTTGAAGAGAAAAAACATTCTTCCTTTTTCAGAGTAATCGTTTGCTCATTTTGATACGCGCTCTGCAATAGGGTTCACTTCAAAGGTTGCTTCATCTCACCAAAGTCGAAGAGCAGATTTTGTAGTAAATAGGTAATTTAAAAAAAATATTACACATTAATATGTTTTTTAATCCTTCAATCTTGTCAGCTATCTCAAAACTCGAAAGAAACGAAAAGGTTTCTACTCAGACGACTAAGGGAATTGCCTTTACTAGATCACATACACTTACTGGCAATTGCGCTATTCCACATACATCAAGAAATATACAAAACAAAAAATGCTGAAGGTTGATGAAGAAAGAATACAAATAACAAAACTAACCCTTTCTCAGCGCTCAGGCATTTTTTACAACACCAGTTTAGCTGATTACACCTATTAATCAGTGTATGCCGAAGGTCCGATCCGACCGCCCGAGACGGGCTAGATTTCTGCGGGACGATCTAATTTTACAGCTAGGCAGCCCGTTTGATGGGTAATTTTTTTTCTTCAGAAAACGTGTCCATTGGCACTGTCTATTTAGTATTTAAGAAGGACTGGTTAAATCTCTTCTGGGCTGGTAAGTTTTTGAAGTTACCAGCCCAGATGTCTGGCATGGTTTTTGGCTTATTTCATACACTGCATACACGTATAAAAGATAAGGGGGCATAACTGAGTTATGCTTAACACTAGGTCAATGTTACTCAGATCACTTGGAGAAAAGTTGTTGTGGATACTTACGCTATATTTTCGTTATGTTGTGTTCACGGTGAACCAACCTATTCCATTACAAAGTTCCCCAATGTGAGCGGATACGTTTTGGTAGTTTCACAATTTATAAGAAAAGATGTCAATGTACAACTTGAGAAAGCAGAATAGCGATTTGGATGGCCCTATCCGATATGTAAGTTAGTTCTTAGATTCCCATATTCTCCTGTTTGTGTAGATGTATATTGACCAATTTTGCATCATTATTAATCGAGTACTAGCCATATCTTCAAATGTACTGAAATTACTGATAATAATACAACATTTTAGTTGACGTCATGGCTTGTTATATGCATTATGCGACGTCTGAAAAAGACGACATTGGTTTGCTGATTAGTATATATCTTACCTAAATTCCATTAATTGTATGAAAGGTCTCGGCTTCTATGTCTGAATTTAACACTCTTTAGACCAAACAAAAAATGAATGATTTTACCAATTAAATAGTGTCCTGAATATATCAACAATTAGACGGTTTGACTGCGTATCTTATTGGGAGCAACACGCGCACCTGTTTGGCATCAATTTAACGTAAATGAAAAAATAATATTTCACAACACCCAAATATTTTGCAGTTATGGCTACGTGTGCCAATTTCTTATGTAAATATTATTCAAACAATCAAAACTTTCAAAGAATAAAAAACGCCTACCCTATATCCAGGCATAATATGGTATTGAACAAGGCTAAATGTATATATACTGAAAATAGTTTGATGAAAAAATATCTGAACGATACGCAAAGTATACATCATAATACTGAAAGTGTAATCGGAAGGATAGGGCGATTGTGTTTACACTTGTTCAACCGACCTTCACCTCAAAGAAATTGTCTAACATGTACAACAATGTTGACGTATGACATCACTACCACCGACCGATTACTTATAAAATGGCGGCCACGCTGACAAGGGTACACAGGATTTTGCGAGGACCCTTCCCTTGATTCAGGGATCGTTTGTACATAAATATGAGATGTAAGTAATCAGAATGATTCTGACTATATGTGTATTGTTATATGTATTATC